CTTTAACCTTTAAAATCATTTTAAGGTAAAGTTGCCATAGCCCTAATGTACCACAGGGCTGCTCTCTCATTAGCTAGAGATGATTGATAGTGGTTAAACCTGATTCACCATGTCTCAGGCAAAGGAAGAGGTTGAGAAGAAAGTACTTTCATAATAATCTCAGCTGGTGTGGGAAATGAACCTGTGTTATTGGCATCACTCTGCATCACAAACCAGTCATCCCGCCAACTGAACTAACCGATCCCCTGATTATAACTGTAATTCATAGCACATTTTGCATTTTCAGCAAGTGCTATCCAATCACAACAAACATTAGGCATTATGTTTCAAGTTTTGCTAGCATGTGATGGACAAGTATAATTAGAACTCTGTCTCTTGTGAATAGTCAAAAGGACATATTATTTGATATGGTCGACCACTTTTTGGGATGAATGGTCTATGTACTTCATATTACACTGGCACTGAAATTCATTTATCATATTACTTAATTGCAAGGTATGCATAATTTCATTATGGCTTGATAGTAGCACCCTGTTAATGGAAACTACCACTTGTGTTACTACTACTATGTAGGAATGTGAAATGATTTATTGCAATAATTGTACAAAAGTTTGAGGTACCTTACCATTCCAGCGTAATTTAGAGTCAAAGAAACTCATGAAGCTTTTAAAAGTGCATGGAAAACCTTCAACCCATTCTGTCTGCTCCAGTCATCAAACATCCATCTATTTTAATCTCTAATCCGCCTCTAATTCGAAGCAAGCTGGGAATTTCTATGGTGTGAATCATTCGTGAGTATGCCCAATGCATAGCAAGAAATAATCAATTTGGGTTGCCATTTAACAACGGGATGTCTTTGATACACTCGTTTTGCTATCACAGTTACATAGTGAGCTCTAAAAAGTTGCCAATAAGGTCAATCTTATAGCAAATGGAGCTGTAGAGTCTCAATGTACATATTAACTAGTCAAGATAGACTTACAGGAGACAATAACAAAAATCTTCAGTGAATTTCTCAAACAGCACATTGGAAGACGGAGCTTATTAGATTGAGTGGAATGTAGCACAATGAAGCTTGGGAAGAAATTCAAAATTCTGAAATGCAGCCCCATATTCAAATATAGCAAACATATCACTTGCATTTCGAGAACATGCAAGAGGTACGCAGTGCAGGATAATTCTATCAAAAACATGCTTCTCTTGGAAGTAAGTAAAAACTAGGCATAGATCCCATAGATCAATACCATTATTTGGGCATATAAAATGTCACTGAAGCTGAACTTAACTGCAGGAACTGTTCAGTTAAATGAATACAAAATCTATAAAATTATTGAAATTAGGCTGACCAACCAGCAATGGCCCAAGCACCAAAAATAACAATGACAAACCTAGCCCCACTAATCCTGCAAAGTCATCATTACTAACACCTGGGGACTTGTACCAAAATTAAGAGAACTGCTGACAGACTAGTCAAGCCAAGAGTGACTATGTCCCAGTCACCACCATCACCATCCATAGGTATATCCTCTGTGGCATACCTAGCGGGACAGATCCACCACAACTAGCAATGCAGCGGCATACAGTTGGCAGTGAGTTGCCGAAGAGTGCCTAACATTGACTCCACACCTCAAGAAGTCTCATGGTATGAGGTCAAACATGGGCAAGGAGACCTCCCACCAATTACCAACTGTGGTCTTTTGCTAATGAATAAGTACTCCTCTATATGAAAGGGTATAGAATGTACTCTTGTAGGGGTACTTCAATGCCCATCACCAAGAGAGGCTTAATAGCATCACCACTGACTGAACTGGCTGAGATCTAAGAGGTGTCACTGTTGGGTCTGTAATTAGAAGTCAGGCAAACAACAAGACAGACAACCTGCCTGGCCTGCTGTGTTCCTCCAGCTCCACACTGTGTTTATCTAAGACAGAAAACCTGCCTATTTACCAGCCTCTTGGCTGCAGATGCACCTAGTATTGATAGTATTGGTAGGAGTGACCACATTACAGGTCCTAAGCCATTTGCTCACTGTGCAAAATTCACACTGAAATAGGGCATATCAAAGCTATCATGTTGAATAATGGTTACCCTGACAGAGGATTGTTCATTGTGCGATGGGCATACTCACTAACAAGCATAAGGCTGCTTCTTTTGGAAGGAAAAGCTATATCTAAACATTAAGCAATAGACGAAGTTAACTATTCAAAGTTGCTACTATACAGTAGCGACATTCATGGTATTTTCCATTAACAAGATGCTGTCACCAAGCCAAAATGACATTTTCTGATCATGCAAATAAGTAATGTGGTAATAATTTTTATGCAGATGTAAAAAGGTACATCGTCTGTACATTCAAACAACTGTTGCATTGTATCAACAAGCTTATACCTTTGGCTATTTGTTATATGCAGAATATTGGCCATTCTCAACCAATCTTTGATTGCAAAATTCATCATAATATCAAACATTAGATGTAATTCTCTGATGGGATTGTCCAGAAATTGTTATCTAAAGTGTACGAAGAACCATATTAGTAACTAATTTAAGATCATGAGCCCTCTGTAGGACAAAGGAAAATGTCCAGACATTACTTTCTTATTAAATTAAACTAGAGTGTTGGGACAAAAGTTACTTGGTGCATTCTCCACAGAAATGAAAACCAGAATTGACTTGCCGCCCAATTTGCAGATTTTCTTGCATGCTATATAAATTGTTGCTGCCTTTGAGATTTGCTTTTCTTGCATCTGACCTGATAAGTGCAGGATGAACAGTTTCAACAGCATGTCTTATTTTTCTTAAGTCCTTTATTACAAGCAACTATTTATTACATTTGAAGTTGCCGTTGGAGTGGTGGGTGAAGGATCTAGTTTCGCTGTTGATGGCTTGTTTTGTAGGTACCTAGCACTGCTCTCTACAAATGCTGGAGATTGCTTGATGACAAAGACCTTGTCCACGGTTGTTTCTCCCCAACATAGTGCGATTCAATTTATAGGCTTGGAAATTGGCATTAAGAATGTTGTCGTATCAGACTGGATTCTCGTGCTCAACTGGCTACAGAATACCACCATTGGTGTGCAGGAATACTCATGCACAACAATATGGCCAACTTAGCAAGGTTGAACTCAAATAAGAATGCTCTCATACCAATCAACTCCCTGCAAAAACGTTGGTGTTAGAGCTATTGTTCTGCCTTTTGATTTGCAGATAGACCTTAAGCAGAGAAAGTGGAATGCATCCAGTTACTCTATGTGATACTGTAGGCTGTCAATGCCTCACTGCAATACAGGAGTGTTTAGGAACCACTGCCTGGGGAATTTTGATCTTTGGTTTTTAGTCAAGTCCATGCTCTCTTTGAAGCCTGCTTTTGCCAGGCAATGAGCCATTTTAACATCTGATGTGGTGTTTCTGGGGAGATAATCAAAAACAGCAAAACTTCAGAAGTGAGTTGAGGGGATGTACTATTGATTGTGACCTTGGGATCTTGGAGTTTGTAGAGAGAATTTAAATTTTACAAAATTTCTGTCTTTCCAGACTTACTGTCCGGCTGAAGATTTCTGAGGTTTAGACAAAGCAATCAACAAGCAACTGATGCTGCTTGGTGTGTGAGATGAGACCATAGACATCAGCAAACAAGAGCCTGTTTAGTAGCTTCTCGTGATCATGTGCAAGCTCTGAGCTTTTGCAAGTTGAAGAGGCTGCAGCCTGTCCTGAACTAAATGTCCTGTTCTAAGTCAAGATCTTTGAATGTGCAAGACAACATGGCTGAAAAGTAGATGGCAAACAGAACTGATACCATTATGCAGCGTTACTTCATGTCATTGATGACAGGAAAGGTACCTGACGAGATGCCATTGAGTATCACACTCCCATCATGCTATAGAGATGAGTAGATCGCATTGATTGTCTTTCATTTATTTATACACTAAACAAAAGCAAAATACTGTGAACACTGGAAATCTGAAATAAAAACAGAAAATGTGGGGAAATCGAGCAGGTCTGGTGACAACTTTGTTGAGAAATAGAATGTTAATTTCTCTTTCCACAGTTGCTGCTGGGCTTGCTGAGTTTGTTTATGTTTGTACAGAATTTTTCATAGTCAACTGGAATTACTGTACTTCTAATAAATCTAACCATGGCTTTGATTTAAGAGGCCATATAACTGAAAAGACATAAATACTTTACTCTAAACCTACTCAGTTTTGAAGAAGGGTCATATTGGGCTCAAAATGTTAACTTTGCTTCCTCCCAACAAATGCTGCCACATTTGCTGAGGTTGTTCAGCATTTTCTGTTCTCATTTCAATATGAATTAAAGTTGGGAATTTTTTTTTAATCTGAATATTACTGCTAAGGCTATATTTGTTGTCCATGAAAGTTGCTGAGATCCACCAATTTAGCACTGTCAGCTTAGATGACCACTGATGTGGGAAATGGTAAAATATATAGTTACACTTCTGAGATATATTCTTCGGAAACAGTGGGAGAATATTTACTCTGCATAATGCCACGATATGTGGCCAAGTTGTTTGAGGCACAGTAGTGTGCAAAACAGTTAATGTTCCATTCCCCTGGACCAACATCTCTTGGTTTATCAAACAGAGAATTTGACGGGAACAGAAATTTTTTTTAAAAAAAAGAATATTTTCCTCTTTTCACATCTTTACATAATGCAATTTATCATCAGGAAGATGAGGATCTTTCCATGTTCAACTTTCAGAATGTACGTGGAGTAAAAGAAAATAGATACCCATTTCCTCTGGTTTTGACAACATGTTCAAGCACAATTAGAAATTGCAGTGGCTCAAACTCAGGATAATTTCAGTATCAGTCCAATCCAGCCATCCCGGTAAATGGATCTTAATGTATTCTAGCAATATACATTTAGAGTATCATGGCTAAAAGCCATGTCTTTCACCCAGTTATTCCGGTGGTCAAGTGCAATCGAAACAGAAAATGAAACAAAATAGAAGTCAAACATTGGGTACCACACGGCCCCCTTACCTGCTGCATCTATGGTAGTACACTTCTGATACATTGACGTACGGAGCGTTGGCGTTCTAACATTCAAAGTTCTGATTTTGTCAACTCGAGCATCAAATACCCTTAAGATTTGGTCTTTATCATCATCATCATGGCACATTATTTTATTATCAATGAATGAAGCAAACATTTGTGTTTCAAGAAATCTGGATAGGAATGGCAGGTAAGGTTCAGGCTGGTCAGAAAGGAAAGAAGCCTGTGAAAAAAGAATAGGAGAATGATTCAACAAAAGACAACCCATCTGAGGTGAAAGAAGTGCTTTAGCATACAAGCAATGAAACGCCTAATGATATAAACTTGATCTGGAGTTACACAATTTACTTATAGTACAACAACATGCACCAAGTAAGTACTTGTGTAGTGATGCTAAGCCTGTATACTTAAATGGGTTACCTCATTGTTATGGGTAGCATCAGTTCCTGGGGAGTAAAAGAAGAAAATTATTACTTTGGGCACTATTTTCTGGCATAAAGGAATTTTTACCAGTAATTTTAATGCCAACCAAGTTGCTCCTCCATAGTGTTGCACATAGGGAGTTAAGATCATGCTCAGTATCCAAGTCAAACAGAGATAGGAGGGAATAAATTGGGTGGAGTGGGCCGGTGGTGTGTGCATGAATGAAAAAAGGTGGGAACCCAAGAGCAAGATGAGAAAACACTTAAGAATGCCTATGGGATCCTGAGAAGATATGATTAAAAATTGTATAAAATACTGTTTTGACATCCAATTGGATTATAGCATCCAATTCTGGGCCTTACACTTGAGGAAGGATATAATAATTTTAGAGATGGTGTAGAAAAGATTCCAAAGAATGTTTCCAGCGATGAAGGGCTTCAGGTATACAGAGCTGAGTTTGTTCTCCTCAAAAATTGAGAGAATATTAGATTTAAAAAGCTTGATAGGAGATCAAATACTCAAAATAAAAGAGCAGGAAGATTCTGGGGAATCAAATACTGCAAAAAGGGAATAGATAATAAAGCAGAAGCAATAAACAAAGAAATTTAAACAGTGACATCAGTGTGACATGACAATCACCATATACAAAGCAGCAGCACTCAAGAAAGGCTTTTAAGGCAACAATATGGGTTAAGTATCTCTACATTTCACTTTTTTGCAACTTTGTAGTATCTTTAGCTCAGGGCCGAAGTAAAGGAGCCCACACATGAGGGAGAGAGGTAAAATTCCAAAAGTGATGACAACACAAGATGATCAGTAGCTGTTAAGTGTTCTTTTGTAATTTCAAGTTTAATTCTGAGTTAGTAAAGAAATTAATAAATAGAGCCATGGCAGAGTAATTTAGTCCTGTAGAATGCATAACCCATGCCAAGTGAATCTCCAGCACATTTCACATGGAGGAGCTTAAATTCTAAGGTTCAGTACATGTGCAGCTGGTGTCACCACAACACACGCACGAGAGTTTTTTTTTTGTGGATAGCATGCTTCAGGAGGAAATTATTCTTCAGTTATTCTTAGCTTAAAAGTGACAAGGTAAAAAGGAACTGGTGATCATTAGACAATCAAGGTAGATTAGGCAAATAGTACAGAAGTAACCTTAACCTAACCCCAACTCAAGCACGTCCCCCTCTCCAAATGGTATTCAAGTCCAGATACCAATAAGAATGAAGATAGCTCTGCGGGCAATAGCCAGAACCATGTCCACAGCCTAGCAAGGAGCAGGAGGAAGACTGGAAAATCAATTGGGGATTTTTTAAGTTAGGGGAACTGACAGACATTTCTGTCACTTCAGACATGAGCCCAGGGTTACATGGTCTCCCTAGTATCAAAGTCAAGGATTATCATTGTTGTATAGTTTATGCACCTCCATGAGATTCCCTGATTTATTCTCCATTTTTTTTTCTAAAAGTTAGTGCATTGATTACACTCCGTGTATTGGTACCTCCATTATTTCTTCACTTTCATCAAATAGATTGTCACCTGACTTGTCCAGGATGGACTGTCTTTCCAGTTATGTAACATTTTCCTTAATTGATACTGTTACTCTGCCAACCCTTCACTTCTCTTTCATTCCTTCCATAACCTTAACAATTCTTCTCTTTTTGAGCCTCATACCTGTTATCACTGCAATATCATAATCCTATGTTGCCATCTGCTCACCAGCTTTGTTTATAAGCTTCACACATTTAAATATATTCACTGCAAACCTAATTTACAATCTTTTTGCATTAATTAAGAGACTAAGAAATTGGAGCAGGAATAAGCCATTTATTCCTTCAAGACTGCTACATCATTTAAAGAGATCATGGCTGATCGACAACACCATTTTCCTGTACTATTTCTGTATCTCTTGATGTTTTTAATGTAGAAATCTGTCAATCTCAGTCTTGAACATGCTGAATGGCTGAATCTCCAAAGGTCTCTTGAGCAAGGAATTCCAAAGATTCACCATCCTCTGAGTTGAAGAAATACTCTAAATAGCCGACCATCAACCTCAACAACACGCTCCTGTGCTATTTCTATATTCTTTGATACCATTAGTCTCCATTGATGTATCAATCACTGTCTTGAGCATGCTCAATGATACGCTTCTTTAGTCACCTGGAATAAAGATTCACTACCCTATGAGTGCAGATGTTCCTCCTCGTCTCTGTCTTTATTGGCCGACCTCTTATTCTAAGTTAGTGCCCTAGTTCTAAACTAACAAGCTGAGTAAACATCCTTTCTACATCCACCTTGTCATACCTTACAAGGATTTTGTAAGTTTCAATGTGACCACCTGTCATTCTTTGTAACTCTAAACAATACAGGCCCACATTCCTCAGTTTCAACTCACAAAACATCCCTGCCATTCCAGGAATTCATCTGGTGAATCTCATTGAACTCACTTTATGATGAGTACATTCTCCCATAGACAGGAAAACCAAAACTATACAGCATTCACAGTTCTTTCAGTTTTTATCTTGTGGTGCAGTGTTGTGTGCCTGCCTCTGGCCAGAAGATCCAGGATCAAGTCTCACCTGATCCAAAGATGTATCATAATAAGAATGAACATGTCATTAGGAATCAAAACTGGGCATTTTCCTAATGTAATTAGTGACCCAGGTTTGAGTGTTCAGGTCACATTTGCAAATTGCAGATGATACAAAACTTTGAAGTATCCTGAACTGCGAGAAGAACAGTGATCGACTTCAAGAGCGCATAAACTGGTTGGTGCAAAATGCAGACAAACAGCAGATGAAATTTAATGCAGTCAATTGTGAAGTAATACACTATGAAAGGAAGAAGAAGAAGTGTTGATGTAAATTCAATACAAGGTAAAAAGATAAAGTCGCCATAGCCTTACCAGACCACAGAGCTGCTTTCCCATTAGAGAGAGGCTGATGGTGATGTTTTAACCAGATGGTCGGTTGGACTATGGCAATTTTACCTTTATTCTATACAAGATGAAGAAACAGAGATACTTCATGTTAAAGTACACAAGTTGCAGAAGGTTCGGAGCAGATATCGAAAATGATCATGAAAGCATATACGATTCTGGACTTTATAAACAGACACAAGGAAAAAACAAGCAAGCTATGATGGATCTTGATAGAACACTAATTCAGCTACAAATGGAGTAGCGTGCTCAATTCTGGATGCCTGACTTGAGGAAGAATAAGGAAGTTTTTCAAAGGGCACAGAAAAGACACATAATAACAGTTCACGTGATCTGAGACCTCAGTTGCATGGACAGATTTTAAAAGCTGTGGTTGGTCTCCTTCGAGAAAAGAAAGAAGAGGTTTGATTGAGGTGCTCAAAATTGTGAGATGTCGCAACGAAGTAGTTAGAGAGGAGTTGTTCCCATTGGAAAAAATTTGAAGAGAAGGAGGTTACCAATTTAAGAAGATTGGCAGAAGGACCACAGAGTTCATCACACCACCAGCTACAAACATATTAGTACTATAAACACTATAAGGAAGATTCACATGGAATTTTTTCATGAAATTTGCACTTAATATACTCAGTAATAAATACATTTTGCAAATTGGTGGTTAACAAACACTTAGGAAGTACTTAAATGAGCTGTATAAACACAAGTTCTTTTTAGGATAAATTTTCAACAGGGTTTCCATACAGGCACTATTTAAATTACGTGCAAAGAATACTCCAGTAACTTGCTACCATTAACAGGTTGCCATATCCCTAAGTTCCTGGTTCAACTTAATTTACATAACGTGTATGCGATTCTAACTGAGAAGGACCTAGCATTATGACTTAACTGAGTCAGGAAGGGCAGGAAACAGTTGCTTATAACCTGTATGGAAGAATAGGAGGAATTACGTATATTTTAGTATTAGCTAAGAATGGACAATAAAACATCGAGAACACCATGGTGGCATAGCATCATACAGAAGACACCCTTCAGCCCATCCAGTCTGTACCACCAAAAATACGCTAAATTTACACTAGATATAACACAGTGAGGAGCTGGAGGAACACAGCAGACCAGGCAGCATCAGAAGAGCAGAAAATTTGACATTTTGGGTCGAGACTCTTCTTCAGGTATGGGGAGGGGGAAGGGAGCTCAGAAATAAATAAAGAGGGGAGTGGTGGGGCTGGGAAAGGTAGGTGGGATGGTGAGAAGGGAGCACAGGTAGAGAGTGGTGAGGGTTGGTCAGTGAGGTGGGAGGGGCGGATAGGTGGGAGAGAAGATGGACAGGTTGTGCTAGGTCAAGGAGGTGGGGATGAGAGGGAGGGTTGGTCATGGGATGAGGCCGGCGGGGGGGGCAGTGGGGAGATTTTGAAACTGGTAAAATCCACATTTAGGTCATTGGGCTGTAGGCTCCCGAGGCAGAATATGAGGTGCTACTCCACCAGTTTGTGGGTGGCATTATTGTGAGACTCGAGAAGGCTCAGAATGGACATGTCACCCAAGGAGTGGGAGGGGGAGTTGAAATGGTTGGCGACCGGAAGGTGTTGCCATTAGGCGCGAACAGAGTACACATGCTCTACAAAGCGGTCTCCAAGCAACAATTTGTGCAACACTGCAAGCCACCTGAATTCCTGAATAAATGAAGATGATAGGGGACAGAAGGGAGAACTCAAGAGCACAGGTAATCATTACTGCTGGTGACAATGTCACCTTATGGTGCATGTTACCTATAAGTGTTCTTGCAGATGGCACAGCTGCCAGTGCTCTGCTGGTGATTCTGAGCAAAGTTCTTCTGCTTAATTCAGGGCAACCTTTAAACGTAGATGTGAAGCTGCTATTGCCTGAGCATAATCTCATTCAAAAAACAGGTTTACAAAAATATAGTGTCAAGGGCTCAAAATCTCGGTGTAATTCAGTGCTGACAAATGTATAGAGTATAGGGATTAACAAAGAAAGCAACTTTTTTAAAAAAGATTTTTAAAGAAAGAGCTTTAGCAATTCAGATCATAAACTTCTTTCCCAATCAGAGGTGCTATTTTCAGAAGAAGTGTAATAACAACTACAAAACTGGAAAAAAATTAGAGAATAGAGTACATATAATAAAAATATAATACCATAATGCTTTCAACATCTATAAAGTTTATGCATACCTTCAACTTCCACTGAAGCGATACTTAGCAAATAGCTAACAATTCACCTTTAATGGTTAACTCACCTTATCAAAGTTCTGCATTTGTTCCCGATTGCTGAACCAAGATTCTTTGTCTTGGTTTGGCTGAATTACAAACACCTCATAATCTGCAAACATCTGAGTAAAACGATTGGCAAAGATTTCTCTGATCTGGATGTTAAGCTGATGAATCTTCAGCTCTTCCTTGTCACAATGAACCTTCAAATCTTTGTTACTTCCAGCTTCCCCTCTTACTTCCAGCTGCAAGAATATAACAAGAAATAGATCAATCGTTTCTTAAGGTTACCATAAACTGGAGCCACCTCGATGTCACTTCTGGAAATATTTAGCCATTGTTTCTACTAATGAATTTGTTGAAGGATTATTATTCATTTAAAGAATACCCAGTCGCAGTTCTGACACTTGCAAACATTAAATACAATTTCAAACCATACCACATAGTGCGCAGACAAAGGTTCCAATGAGATTAAATGTTCAATCTGGATTAAAGATACCTTTTGCCAATTTTATGACACATGGAACATCACACCACTCTCTGAACTAATGTAGAACAATCTTGGGATCACTTGAAAATGAACTTTTATCAAAAAAATAAAAGTTAAATGTCCAAAGCTTGTGACTTAACAAGCTGACTAACTTGCTTTCCATTTATAAGGACATGCTATATTTATTCAAAATTAGTGAGAAGAAATCAGAATTAAATAAAGGTTATAGGAAAAAGATGCAGATCATTTCAAAGAAGAGCTGTTGCTGTAAAATCCGTTTGATTCAATCAACACTGGTAAAATAAAGCGCCCATGAAATATAGTCAAAACAAAAAAAAAATTATCATAGAAAATCTGATACCACAAGAGGCGATGCAGAATTCAATACCTTGTTACACATTTTTTACGTATAGTTTCCAAGTACTTGCAAATCATCTATTTCTCTTGCAGCTTTTAATTAATAGCTTTGTTCACTTCTGGGCAAATGCAGAAATGGGCAGCACAGTGGCACAGTGGCTAGCACTGCTGCCTCACAGCGCCAGGGACCCGGGTTCAATTCCAGCCTCAGGTGACTGTCTGTGTGGAGTTTGCACGTTCTTCCCGTGTCTGCATGGGTTTCCTGCGGGTGCTCCAGTTTCTTCCCACAGTCCAAAGATGTGCAGGTTAGGTGGATTGACCATACTAAATTGCCTGTAGAGTTCAGGGAGGTGTAGATTAGGTGGGTTATAGGGGGATGGGTCTGGGCAGGATGCCCAGTGTGGACTTGTTGGGCCAAAGGGCCTGTTTCCACACTGTAGGGATTCTATGAAGACAGGAATTTTTTTTTTTAAATTTTCAAAATGGAAACTGATGAACTTTCAGTGCAACAGAAATTCAAACCAGTCATATTCAAACATGTGTGCTGAATACAATTCACAGTTCATAATTTTGATTAATTTTGTTATTGATTAGATGATACGAAAAAAAAAGTATGTATCTGTAGGAAAATGCTATGAACTTTTTGAGAAAATACTGACCAATTAAATTCAAACAGCCTTCATAAGCTTTTAGATGAAATTTGGATTACAGAGGGCATATTAAAATTAAATTGAATTTAGATAGTTTATATCTTATTCTCATTTAGAGCCTGGAGAATCTTGGTTTGTACATAGAATTATGAATTTTCAATAAAGTGAAAATCCAGACTCCAAATCATACATCCTAATGGCTTTTTGTTCTCTGCATTCTTCATCTCTCTCTATCACAACTCATCCCACATACCCCCACCGACAACAATCCAAAGGGCCAAGTTATGTCAAATTACAGGTACATAGATGCTACTCACACACTGCTATCCAACCTGCTGATCTTCACTTCTGAATTCAACCAGCAAACGTTGGAAGCTTCAAATGTGTGGGAGCAGGGGGATATAAGAGCCCAGCTGGCACACACTCAAATGTTTCAAGAAAAATCTCTAAACACCAATAAAAACAGAAACCATAAATTTCTACTCTCGAATGAAGGGGTACAGAGCTCAACTATTGCCCTTCCACAATTGACCTAGCCACAGTTCACAGACTCGGGCAAGGCCTGGGTTGCATTGATTTTTAACCAGTTTATGATCTACCGAAATAAGTGAAATAAATTTCAGAAAAATAACTTCCCCAGTAAAATTTTGGCACCAAGATAATACTATAAAGGCACTTATTGTAATACAGTTTGAGAGAAAAACACACTTAGAACATCTCTTTAAAAATACAAAATGTAATAATTCCACAGCGACTGGTATCCCGTCACCCAGTCATATTTTATTTACACATCAGCAGTTTGACTATAGTACTGCCTCATACAGAATCAGGTACCAGAGTGTCAAAATTTCTGACACTCACCCTGTTTATACGTCAACTAGGGTTCCCTAGTTGGCTAACCTCATTACACTCACTACACACAATGATACTTTTGCAACAAAAGTAGTTGACATTGAACCAAAGTAGAAGCAATGTCTTCTGCTGGTTAATAGCAATACATGCTACATAATTGCTTCCTTAAAAAAATGATGGGCAATTTCATGAACAACTATCAAAAAGTTATCCATAAACTCCCTAAAACAGTTATTGACCAACAAGCACCCATCATCTTATTATTTAAATGAAGGCACTAATTTCAACAGAACATAAACTAGTTAAAAATCGACGCAACACAGGCCTGTCTGAGTCTGAACTATAGCTAGGTCAATTGTGGAAGTGCAATAGTTGACCTCTGTACCCTGTCGTTTGACTAATAAGAAAGGCATGCATTATCCAACCATATTCTCATCTTCTCAAGTTCTCTTGTGATATAGTGATGCTAAACTGTTTGCTGACAAAAGAGGTGGAAGTCTTGTAGCAAATATTCTGATGTATACATTTGGGTGAAAGAAAAGTTGAAATCATTTGGGAATAATTTTTTTGACAAGTTTCATTAACTACCCAGTTCTAGACAGAAATAAATAACAACTGTCTTCACTAGGCATATATTGTGATTTCCTCTATGCCATCTCTTTAATAACTATGAGGATAGAAATATTTTCCATATTAACATGATCTGAAGGAATGCCTTAGACCTAATGAAAAAAGCTGATGAAAATATTAATTAAGGGTTAAAAACCAAAAGAACTGCGGAAAACCAAAACAGAAGTTGCTGGAAAAGCTCAGCAGGTCTGGCAGCATCTGTAAAGGAAGAAACAGAGTTAACGTTTCGGGTCTGGTGACCCTTCCTCAGAATTTTGTTAATTAAGGGTTAATTGGGTATGAATTGATTATATAAATATGGGGAGCTGTGACATGTGAGTTTAATGGAGTGTGTTAAACTGAAATAAAGCTCTCATTAAAATTTGGAATTGGACTCTATTCATATACATTTATCTTATGTACGATACTACATATTAACAATAATTATGGGAACAAAGAAGGCAAGTAATTCCTGCATCAATAGAGAGAAAGTAGTTGTGTCTAGTTGTATGTCTTGCTACTGATCATTAAAATGTTCTTTATTCAAAAAAGTTCAGAATGGGAGAAAAATAGATTCACCATATATAACAATAAATTTTTGCGTTTCCATAAAGGGTGTATGGAATATGAAAATTCCATTCATGTTATTAAGCTTTAAAAAAGGAAATTACATAGATGAGGAATTTATTCATGTTCTGGGATAGTTTCTTCGAGTAACATGTTCTGGACCAACCAGAAATCAGACCAAACTAGATCTGGTATTGTACAATGAGACAAATTTAATTAATGATCTTACAGTGAAGGTGTCCCTAGGTAGCAGGGATCATAATAACATAATTTGAGGGACAGACAAGCTGGTCTGAGATTTTTTTTAAAAACTTGAATGACAGAACTGAAGTGATTTGGTAAATTGGTTGAAAGATAGGTCAATAGAGATGCAAAGGCAGACATTTAGGGGAATATTTCAGAATACACAAAATGGATACATTCCAACAAATAAGAAAAATTCCACCCACAATTTGTTGTTAAAGGGTTAAAAAGATAGCATCAAACTTAGAGGAAAAAGCATACAATTGTGTAAAGACAGGTGATAGGCCCAAAGATTGTACAGAAAACAAAACCAGCAAAAAATGATTAAAAAGTTAACAAGGAGGGGAAAAATAGAGTTTACGGAAAAGCTAGCCAGAAACAAAAAGCAAATTGTAAGAATTTCTATAAATATTTTTAAAGGAGAAAATATTAACAAAGTGGGCACTGGTCCAATAGAAAGTGAGTCTGGAGAATTTATAATAGAAAATAAAGAGGTTGACAGCAGAAATGAATAATAATTTGCATCAATCTTCATGATTGAAGCTACTAGTAACATTCCAGGCACAGATAGAAAGGGGAGTGAGGAACTCAGGAAAATTACAATCGCTAGACAGAGGGAATTGAGCAAATATTTGGAGCTGTGGGTTGATAAATGTCTGGCTCCCCATTAACCTCATTCTAGGTTCTTAAAAAGAGCTATTACAAAAGGTATAGCTGGTCACGTAAGATAAATTTACAGTAATCAAACAGAGTCAATATAGTTTTGTAAAAGGGAAATCATATTTAACCAATTAATTGGAGTTCTGAGAGGAAGACCAGCCAACGGATTTACTGTACTTAGATTGCCAGAAGGTCTTTGATAAAGTGTCACATCAATCATTGGTCAAAATAGCAAAAGTTCATGGTGCAGGGCTTAACATTGGCAAGAACTAACAATCAACAAGCTAACAGGAAGTAACGAGTAGGATTAAATGGGTCTTTTTCAGGTTGAAAAGGTTTAAAAAGTAGTGTGCCACAGGGATCAGATCTGGGACCTCAATGGTTTACAATTTATACAAATGGTTTGGATGAAGGGAAGGAAGGTCTGGTTGCTAAATTTGCTGGTGATAAAACAATAACTAGGAAAATAAGTTGTGAAGAGGACATAATGACGCTACAAAAAGTATAGAAAGCTTAACTGAGTGGTAAATAAGTTGCAAATAGAGTATAGAGTATAATGTGGGAAAATGTGAAATTATCCATTTTGGCAGGAAGAAGGGAAAAAAAAATATTTAGTTAAATGGTGACAGACTGCAGAATGTTATGGTGCCCTGCTGTATGAGTCACAAACGCTAGTAGGTAGATACAGCAAATAATAAGGTAAGCTGATAGACTGTTAGGGTTTATTGCAAGGGGAATTGAGTACTAAAGCAGGGAGATTATGTTTTAGTTATGCAGGGCACTGATCAGACCATACCTGGTTTATTGTGTACAGTAC